GACGTCTCGCAGTACGCGGCGTCGTACGACGACGAGCGAGTGATCGACGACTACTACCACCTCAATTTGACTTCGGTCATGACGCTGACCGCGGCATTCCTCCAACACTACGGCTCCGACTCCAAGCCATCGAGAACCGTCGTCAACGTCTCGTCGCGTGCGGCGGTCGTGGCAATGGCTGGAGCTGCTCTCTACTGTACAGGTGAGTCGATAGAAAAAAAAGAAAAAAAAAATCGACCACGTTTGTGTTTCGACAGCGGATCGGCCTGCCTTTGAGGCATAGGCGTAGACTTGGGGGGAGTATCGGGGCTCGTGCCCTCTTGGTGAGATCCAGAAAGAGGAGGGGGGAAAGAAACTCTGGGGAAGGGGGGGGGGGCAGAGCCCCCCCCCCCCTTTCCCCCCTCCCTTCCTTTTTCTCCGGGCTTGGACCATGATCTTTACCGAGACGCTGTTTACGTGCCATGTAACAAGCTTGTAGTAGTGGCATGTAAACAAAATAACGCCCACGTTGCCTTTATTGACAAAGTACATGGGAAATGGAATCCCAGCGTGCTTTCGTTAGCTTCAATCTCCCGTTCTGGCGAAAAAGTAACGCGCAGCACCCTCCCCCCGGGGGAAAATGGAAATTCTACGCCGCTGCTTTGAGGTATGGCGACACTGGCTTACGCTGTAGGTGAGAAATTAAGCCGGTGCAGTAGTACTGCTAGCCTGAGGTCTTTAATTTGCATCACGCTGTAGCGGTACACAAGCGAACGCCGGTACGATGCTCATCCTGATCGAAAGGGGCAGGGGTGGAGATTGAGCAACGAACTCTGTATTGAATGAATGGTGGGTAGACGCTCCTTTTTCCTCTTTGAACTCTCCTTTTTGAACTCGTTCGAATAGATGAGTAGGAGACAAAGCCAGCTAGCTTTGCGTCTACCCATTTAACATTTAAGTCAGAGCTCGGCATTCTGGCGTTCCCGCGTCCCGCGTGCTCTCAAATCTTCTTCTACCAGGAGACTAGGGAGAAGGAAGTGACGTCAACAACGCTCTTAGGATGTTGATTGGTGGAGTCGCTGATGACGCGTTTCGTGGTGCTGCTAAGATACGTTCATTCACACCTACGTCACTTCCTTCTCCCTAGTCGCCTGGGAGTCCAAAACGTGCAACATAGCCCCCCTGAATTAATGATCGAACGTCATTGTTAGTATCCTTGCACTCAAGACTTCAATTAGTGTATTGCTGGCTACAAGAATATTGTGAGAAGGTTTAATATTCGAAGTTAATTGCTCTCTGATACATTAAATTATTGACGATACAAGTATACAGTTTTTGTATGAGTTTTACTAGAGCACGAATTACGTTAGAGGTACGTACAATTCAAGCAGGGTAGTCATAAAACAACTATTTGATATGCTACTGAACAATAAATGCGAGTATCGAGTCAAATAAGCTAGTGGAGGTCATAGTGAAACACTCCACCGCTTCACTTCAAATATACTGAAGCGTCAGGAACACAAAATTTACATCACATAAAGGGATACTTCAACGAAATTTAAAATATACCCATCGTGTTCAGAAATAGGCTGAATATGATTTACAATATCCGTAAATGACAATCGCACACGTTTGTATATTAAGCCTGATGGCGGTATTCACGCTGGCAAGCGCTTGGAGAGCAGCCAGCGGAGAGCACGTCACATCTGGCGCAATCGAGACGTCTCGGGATGAACAGCTGCGGCGAGGCTGCCGTCGTCAGGATGCCCTGGCCTAGGGTGCCTACATGTTTCCGCTCCGCTTTAGGGTGGCGCCAACTTCTTGTTACCCTTTCCCAGATGCTCTCCCACCGCCATTTTGACCCACTTCTTATTTGGCTAAACGTACACAACGTTGAGGTTTCATAGTTTCGGCACACCGGCAACACTGTGAGGCCACTTCCGTTTCCGTTCGTAAGAGAAGTCGGACGAGTCCAACGTTACTAAAACACTCAGTTGGGAAACTCCCATAGGGACAGCCCTAAAAATATGGCCCCATTCTGTCTCCGAGCACCGAGCTAATGACGAAGACCACGCCACCATTTCTCCCGCAGCGGCCACTCGAGAAACTGCATGTGACTCCTCTATTTGGCTGTGGCAGGGGCGAACCCCCATCTTCCCGGCGGACGCATCGCGTTGAACTGCTGAAGTTAAAATTCACCTGGGTCGGGACGCGCTACCTGAAAGGCCCGCTGAGGCATGGTTTTATAAAAACAATATTAATTGTTCCGCAAAACCTTGCGAACTAAAGATGATAAAAACATCACGCGCCCATCATTTGGTACTAAACTCCAATAGACTTCATACAAAAAGAGTCTTTTCCGTTTGTTTTTACGCAAAAAACAGGCTTTCAAAAAGCTCGAGGTGACCATAGTACAGACAAACGAAAAAGAGTGGCGCTGTTGTCGCATTTAGCTCGGTCTCGGTGGACGCCAGCGGCCCAGGTTTCGACGGCGAGTTTCCCAACTGAGTGTTTTAGTAACGTTGGACGAGTCGGAGGCTCAGCGGGATGGCGGTCGTCGTGGCTGTCGCTTTCTTTATTCGGGTGTTTCTTACTTTGAAGTTGCGAGCAGGAAGTATGCGTTGCGTTTATCGAAACGTGAGTCCCCTCGACAAAATGGAACGCAACAGACCGGCATCGCTCGCCGAAACCTCGCCGTCGGAACGAGAGCGGTGGGCGCTCCCTAGCCCTAACGAGGATTAGCGGAGTAGCGCGAGCGCACGACTGGCGAGTGTGACAAAATGGTCGACGAAACAGCGGAGGCTGCCATGGTAACGAGGTAGGCAACACTGGTTTGTCGGCAACAGGGTGTAAGATAGACAGGTGGGGAAACGAGGGCCAAATGAGCGACCGGATTGTGTCTCCCACGGTTTTCTCTTTTTCTGTGGCGCCATCTATGTGGAGCACCGCGAACTCTCACTCCGGGTGGGCGACCAGTAGCGGCCGGCTAAACTGACGGAGATAATTTTTCGTGGATTTTCAATGAAGGAATGTCGTGCTCTCGGTTTATTTTGCGCACTCTCCCATAAAGTTCCATGCAAATTCGATTCGAATTTTTTTCCTCTCGCCGCAGCGCCATCTGTCGCAAGTCGGGGGTACCCGCAAGCAGACGAGTACACAATCCGGTCACGGCGCTGCGGTAGGGTTCTATGGACCGTTTCCCCACCTGTCTATCTTACACCCTGGTCGCCACCCTAAACAGCGGAGCGGCGGCAACATGTAGGCACCCTACCCTGGCCGTTTCAGTCACCGAAGCGGTCGAAGCACGCCAGCGATCGGGTCATCGCAACTAACCGCAAAGCTTTTGTGTGAATTTTGCGTGACGGGGTAATCTTCTGTAATCTTGTAGAGGGAGAATAGCGACGTTTAGGATACACGAAACAGAGTCCCGTTGAGTGGGAAGTTCCTCCCTCCCCTCTTGTGCTGGCCG